GCTGGGAGGAGGGTACTGTGCTGCAAGCAGATGTTTCTCTTCTCCAGTGGAGGCAGGGGACGCGGGGACTCGCGTGCAGATGGGTGGGAGTGGAGAGGGAGCCTGGGGGACTGTGAGCCGGATCCATGCAGATGGTGGCAGTCCAGTGCAATCTCAGTGGCAGACGATTTTGCTAAAGCGCCGGGTAAACCACCCGGGGCCCAGGAGCGTTGCTGGTGTTTCTGATGACTCCCACGCCCTTGCCACTGTCTCTCCGCCACGAGGGTCGGGCCGTTCCCGTGACATAGCTCCAGCTGAGGTCCCAGCCAACAGTTGGCATTGACCAGCAGAGAGGGGAGGAGTACGTTCTAGGTGAGTGTCCAGCAGCTGAGTGTCCCCAGCTGGGGTCCCGGAGGTCACGGAGCACAGCCCCTGCCCGCTGCACCCTGGCCACATTCCCATGGACTCTGAGCGTGACGGAGGGGTGGATTGACCGAAACCACCGAGTTCTGGTGTGATGTGTTGTACCCCAGTGTCCACCCGTCTTTGTGTCTCTCGAAGGCTGAATCAGAGACGGACTTGGGTGTCCAGGAGGATGCGTCCCACCCACTCCCTGCAGCTGTGGGCAACACCGCGGGTGGGCAAGGTGGGTGGTGAAGAGGAATTGCCAGATAAAATACCGGATGCCAGGTTAAATTTCTACTTCAGATGCCGAATGATGTTTACTATGAGCAGGCCTCGTGCGTCCGTCGAGATATGTTTATGTTAATAAACTATCTGCTGTTTATCTAAAATTTATTTTTTCTGGGCCCCCTTGGTTTTTACTTGTGACATTTGAGCTCAAGGCCCTGACATGTTTCCTGAGGACGTGTCCAGGCAGGTCATGGTGCTCTGAAGGTCCACTCTAAGTGGTCAGGTCCAGTGTTCCTGCAACGAGGGTGACTATGAACCAGAGTGGACCATCTTGGTCTCTCTGTCCCCTGCCAGGCCACGTCCCTTGGTCTGAGGGAACCCTTTGTGGACAACAGGGCTGCTCCCCTGGCCCTGGTTTCCATGGTGGGCCACATCTGTGTCCCTGTGTGGAGGACACAGACACTCACGGTGCGGGCTTCAGGTCACCCTCAGGTCAGTAAGGACTTCAGGTAATGGCTACAGCCGGAAGCAGAATCTGGCTCCTTGTCCCTCAGGTGAAGACGCACTTGCTGTCTGTAATAAAATAGAGAGGTGCCGTCTGGATTCTTCCCCTCTCCCCAGCCAGAGGCACTTCCCTCCGGGGCCCTGCCCGCCCCTGGCTCTGTCTGACAGAGGAGAGAGGGAAAAGCCTCTCAGTTTTCCCCACCAGCCAGCTCTTTCCTCTGCCATTTGGGCTCATTACCCAGTAATGAAAACCAGCTCACTCTCGGTTTGCCACTGTGTCTTCTAAATAATCATGGCCTAGAACGCCTCCCGCCTTGCCCTCGGCCCACAGTCCTCTGGCTTTACTTTGCCATCTCAGCTCATTAGCTCAAGCAATAAGGATGAGCCCACCCCCTCTCCTTCCCCCGCCCACCCCGACTGTGGGGGAGAGGGCTGCCGAGGAGCGCTGGGCCACGCCCCCGTTGGCACTGTCACAGGCGACTAGGGGCGGTTCTCTCTGCTGGGGCTCAGCAGTACCTGGGGAAGTCAAGTGACAGAGTGAGACAAAAGAAAAATCATAAGGAAAATGGAGCCCTCTCTCCCAGTGCAAAGGGGAGGTGTCAGAGGGGAGTCGGGGGGTGGATATGAAGGGCAGCAGCTGGAGTCGAGGGGTCCCAGGGTTGGAAAACTTGTGCAGTCTGTAATCTTGATCACAAGATAGGTGTCACCGGCCGCACCACCCACTTCTTCTTTTTGAAGAGAGATTTGTAATACAGGATCAGGGTTTGGGGTAAGGTGCAGACTGTGAATTCCTGCCCAGGACTTCCTGCCCATCCCCTGGAGGGATGTGGTTCAGGGTCCTTCAGGAGGCCGAGGTCATTCTGAAGGGTCCTTCTGAAGGCCTGACGGCACTTGGAGGAACACATCCAAAATGGCGCACTCAGCTGGCGGTGGGTGGAGGCCTCAGTGTCTTGCTGGCTGCTTGCAGGAAGACTCGGCTCCTCCCGTCGTGACTCGGGGGCTTCTCGTGACACGGCAGGTGGCTTCCCCCAGGTCTGCTCTCTCTCTTATAACAGATCTTGGAGGTGACATATCTTCCCTTCTCCCCTCTGCTCTTGGTCACAGAGCCCAACCCAGGCACAATACGGGAGGGGTCTCGGGAGGATGTGAACACCAGGAGGTGGGGTCACGGGGGCCATTCCGGAGGTTAGCAGCTTCGCTCATGTTTTCCTCTGAGCCTCAATATTCTATCTTTGGTCCATTTAGTTAATAAAGTTTTTTTGAGCATTTGTTATGTGCTGGGCTTTCTTCCAGCCTCTGGGGACTCACAATGACCAAACAAAAGCCAAACTCCAGCCTCCCTGGGCTTGAGCCTATGCTTGTCTGGGAGGTAAAACAGGAGGGGACAGCTGAACCAGGTGGCTGGACGTGTGTCCTGACTTCAGTGTGGGTGTGTGCTCTTTCAGGAGAAGGCGAGCCGCCCCTTCCTCTTTGCAGGTACCACTCTGTCATGCTCCGTGGTGAGGTCATCTCTGCGGCTCCCATTTACAATCACCTTGAACCAGAGACCCAGGCAGATCCTCTGGAACCTTCTGGGAGATAATGAAGCTGGTTCTCTCAGGCTGGATGTGTTGGGAGCGAGGGGAGGGGGCCAGCCAGTCACCATGTGGCACCTGCATTGGCACAAACCACCAGCACGGCGCTTCTTCTCCCCCAACACAACCAAAGTCACGGTTGTCGGCGGTGAGACATTCTCGCTGACGAACTCTAAAGGCAGTTTTGAAATATGACTTTCAAACTGAGGCTGGGCAAGTCAGCTTTCCGCATATCTGACGAAAACAACATGGACTTCAACTTGATTTGGCTCATGGTTTCAGAGTCTCTGTCCGGGGTCAGCCAGCTCTGGGCCTGAGGGGAGGCAGAACATCATGGCAGAGGGGCGTGGTGGAGGGCAGCAGCTCAGCTCCCGGCAGCAGGGAAGCAGAGAGAGGGGGAGGGCATGCCCTGGTGCCCTCTTCCTCCAGCTAGCCCCCCCCCCCCACAGCTTTTAACCACCTCTCAATGGTCCATTCAAAGTGTTAACCCATCGAGTGGGTTAGTCCCCGCAGGAGGCCCGAGTCCTCAGCATCGCATCATCTTCCCTCGGAACATTGCCGCACCGCCTAGCATGGGCATTTGGGGGGCATTTTGGACCTAAAACAAAGTTGTTTTGAAGAGTGGCTTCATCCCTGCAATAAATGTCCAGCCTCTCAGGGACAACGTTGACCGGATACCCTCATTCCAATGCAGGAAGTTCTGCAGTGTCCCCTCCGAAACTGGTGTTACTTCCTACCCAGGCTGGGTGATGCCTGCCTTGGAGATAACAGCGCCTACCTCTAGTTTTCTCTCCTCCCTCCCTCCTCCCTCCCTCCTCCCTCTCTCCCTCCCTCCTCCCTCTCTCCCTCCCTCCCCCCTCCCTCCCTCCCTCCCTCCTCCTTCCCTCCCTCCCTCCCTCCTCCCTCCCTTCTCCCTCTCTCCCTCCCTCCTCCTTCCCTCCCTCCCTTCTCCCTCTCTCCCTCCCTCCTCCTTCCCTCCCTCC